AAAAAAAAAAAAAAAGAAAAAAAAAAGAAAACACGTTTTTATTCGCAGAGCAAAAGACGTTTTTTAGGCTGCATCCATCGGTCGTACATTTTGCACAAATAATAGCGTTTCTTCGTCTTCGACTGTCGCATTCCGTCACACGTGCCATTGTATTTATTTACGTTCTTAGGTATATATCGATTTGCTGCATGCCGTGCCTTTGACCATGGTCGATACGACGCACTGTCCGCTCCTGTGAATCCTTTCTTCCCGTTTGTTCTGCGCGCACAGATCGATTTTTAAATTGCGCCCGTTTGCCGCCCGTGGAAAAGTCCAAATCAACGCAGCAATGCCGGCCCCGCGCGAAACCTGTCCATCGCGATCTCGACACGCGTATCGAGGGGGGCACGTCCTCTGATCGTTCGAAGATGTACGCCGACTTATATTTAGCGACTTATGTAATTATTTCAAGTTACATCTGCATAGGAGACCAACCGTGGCTCATTATATTAGCATGTGCACGTTTAATAATCTGCCGTGTTTTGCGTCGTACCTGTTTTTCCTCAACGACGAGACGAACGATGTAACACGATCGCGCCAGTCGACGAGTTATCGATTATCATAATTGCGTTTCATCCGCGCAAGGATACGACACTCACGAGTTCTTGTCGTTTGCAGATAGCACCGCCTGCCACGCCGCTGCAAGACTTCACCTATCATTGGAAACAGCTTATGAACTTTTATGTGAACCATCTGACGGATTGCAAGGTGCCCATACAGACGACCGGCATACCACGGCATTTGGATAGATTGCTAGAGATATTGCTGGAAGAGGAGAAGGATGAGACGGAACCAGGGCCGTGTCTCGAGTACCTGTTGCAGCACAAACTACTGGACCTGCTGGCCACGCTTGCCAGCGCGGAAACTCCACCCGGAATGAGGATCATCTGTTTGTCGTTTCTGAGGAAATTATTAGGAAGGTCCAAGTACCCTTTGCTGCATCACACGTCGATTTACGGGCCAGTGCAGCGACTGATCGGTCTCTGCAATGGCAGCCCACCGTCGCCAATGGAAGCTGAGGAGGTCCAGTTCCTCCTCACGCTTTGCTTCCTAGTTTGTAAATATCCCCACGTGACCAACATCATAAACGACGCACCTAGCGTCCAGAGGCACAACGCCTCCGCCTCCAGGAGGAATTCCGAAAGGATGGAAGTGGAGAAGGTCACTTACATCCCAGCCAGACGAAGGAACAACTTTAATCCCTTGTTCGAACCGTTGGACACCCGAGCAGTCACGCTGATCAATCCCAACTTGTTCAGCTCGGAAAATGACAGGAGACTTAGATTTGTGGAATGTAACAGGCCATCTAGTAAGACTGAAACGACGAGAGGGTCGTCTAGTCAATCGAACGGGTCGATATCTTCCAGAGACGTGGAGAACGCCTCGCAATCCTCTAGCCCGATAATCCAAAAAACAATATCCGACGAGAATTCGGTTGTCGCCGCGTCATCTTCCGACTCTCAGGACTGTGACATCTCGCAGAAGGGCGAGGATGTCGCTCTGATGAACGAGATAGATACCCATTTGCAGAATCTTCAGGATCTGCGGTTGGACGTTGAGTATGGAACTGCTTACGAGGACTCTAATTGCGCGGAAGGGGATCAGAGCCTTCTGAGACCGGAAACGCCACAGAAATCGAAATGCCTTCTACTAGATGCCTTGTTGAGTTACATAAATACCGCGGTAAGCCACGAATTTTCATACTTCGAATCTAAGCTAGAATCGTCGGTTAGAATACTCTCGCGTTTGAGAATACTGAGAATTTAAGAAGTCCGGAGAAATATCAAATATCTTTGCTGTTTATTAAAATCATAACAACTTCTTGTATCACTTTTGTTATTCTGCAATTCGGTATTGATAAAAATTACCAATCAAGTATGATAAAATACTCGACAATATACAAAGAACAATTCATCAAGCAACAAATTTCTAAACGAAAAACGGTTCCTTCTTTCAGGACAATACCGTGAGGATAAGAGCCTGCGAGGGGATAATGGTCCTCGCATCATTGGACGATTCATCGTTCGCTCAAATGGTAGCAAACAGCGACTTAGCAACCCTGATATCGAATAGATTAGAAAACCTGTTCAACGCCATTCCGGCGCACGTCGATCCAACGGAGATCGACGGCGTGGACGTCACTTGGGGTTTAGATTCGCCAGCGTGGACGAAGGAGAAGAAGTTCTCTGGCTGCAGGCAAGTCGCCGCGTTTTTCATGTGGTTCGATTATTGCAATCAACTGATCAGGGAAGCACATCCGGACGTGGCGCACGCGCTGGCGAAAAGCATTAGAGCGAACTTTTTAGAAAAAATCGTGACACCAGCACTGGCTGAACATCACGTCGTTCTTATTACCGCATTGGTTACTAAATGCTTGAAGGAACTAACATCCAACGCCTTATGTATAGGTTTGTATATTAAACATAATTGCTTCAATGTAATTATTAGAATTAACATACAATCCTCTGCTCTTTCTTTCTTTTGACGCTGATGCGCCAATGATTTCTTCTTCTTTTTCAGAAATAAGTTATTGGCTGGTGGGCCAAGACAGAGGCCCAGAGATACCAAACGTGTGGACGTCACCTGTACTACATAGGCTGATAGACAATTGTTTCACGGATAGTGAGGATTTAACGCTAGAAACGTTAAAACTGTTTGAGGAGATGATAGAAAAACGAAACGAACACATACTGCACTGTCTCGTGCTGGTATACTTGTCGACGCGAGGGTATTACGATAACACGGCAGCAGATAGTGCAATTGCATCTTGGAGCGACGAGGAGGATGAGCGAGAGAGGGAGAAGAAGGGCTCGCTAGATCTCTCCTACGAGCAAAGTCATAGTCGAACATTAGCACCTAGTAATATTCATAGAATTGTAAATTGGTAAGGAATTAACAAGAAATCGCACTATTACACGTACAAAGAGAAAGGCTTCTATCGAAAGAGAAATTTCACAACAAAAACATTCGCTGTCATTCGAACAAAGTGATTCAATCGTATACGTACATGCTTATTGACAAATGTGACATGGAATGAAAGAAAAAAAAAAAAAAAAAAAAGAACTTTGAATGTCAACAATGAATGTCGATCAATCGCTTCAGTAAGTTACCGAGTGACTATGTTGACGAAGTTTTTTTTTTTTTTCAGCGTACGTGCTAAAGACCTTTGAACGTGCTAAAGACTTTTTTTCTTTTCACGCAACGATATTTGCACATGTAATTGAAACAGTGTACCGTGGAATTTTTAACGTAATATCAACCTCCGTTTCAGTTTCCTGTCCCTGATTCCTCGTTATCTACAAACGGACACGGATGTGAACAATTACGAGCGGTACATGGCTGACTTAGAACAGCAGTATTCCACTGTGCTGACAGACTGTTCGTTAATGGCGTGGCCGTTAGAGGCGGTAACTGTAGACGATTCCGCGAGTTCCGATTCCAGGCCGGAAGCGGACCATTGTTCCGTAAGATTTTACATGGGCCCGTTTATGACAATGCTTTTCGAGAAAGTGACGAATATTCCAAGACAAAAGTACGAGGTGAACCTGCAACTGACGGTGGTGATCTCGAGGCTTGCGCTCTTACCTCATCCGTACCTGCATGAATTTTTATTAAACCCGTTGTTACCGTTAGCGCCCGGCACGAAGAACTTGTTCACCTGTTTGCAAAAGGTTGTCAAACAGCTGGTGAACGAGGTACCAAAGACGCCGGATCACAAACAAATGCTGAAGGAGACGCGAGAACGATTACTAGAAGATTGTTCCCACGAAGGGTAAATGTGCGAACAATCGTGAAGAATTATATCGTCCGTTGTTTAGTGATTTTAGAAAATTAAATATTTCGTGATTTTTAGGGAGAAGGAGAATATTCTGTTCGAAAGCGTGATCGTGACGGAAGAATTCTGCAAGGAACTGGCTGCGATAGCATACGTGAAATACCACCATTCTATGTGATAATTGATATCAAAGAAAGCGATGTAAATTGTAGGATTTAATTACAATACTATGGCCGAGTAAATTTACTTAATGATCGATCAGTCAGTCTAGATACGCTTAAATAGAAAATTGTTTTTTTTGTGATGAATTTGTAAGATATACGTATACCTTAAGTATAGCGATTATTATATTAATGTTAATATTTACAATCACTTATTTGCACAATTCAACTTGTGACTCTAATAAAGAAACTACTGAAAAAAACGTTTCTGGTTTGATCATTTTATATTTCTGTAGCAATGATGTTACAAAATTTTCTATAATCTCAATAACCTTAAGTTACTCCTAGCAATTATAAAAGATATTTAAACTGGAATATAATTTTCATAAATGCAACCAGTTTCAAAATCATGTGATTCATATTGGGATAAGTTATTAAAGCTACTTCATATTGAAACAAGTGACATGACCCACGTACTAGCTCACAAATGGAAAATACATCAGCCATTTGTATGCAATTACTTATAAATAATATAACATCATATTTAAGCGATAACACTTGCAAAAATACTTCAGTTATCAAGTTAAATAATGAGAACTTAGCAATAAATGGCGAATTGTATTTTTTACCTAACCTTAAAGTATGGAAGAACTTGTTGAAAGATACAGACAAATGTGATGAAAAGTGTACAACAATTTTACAACATTTTCTGTATGTTCAAAATGGTAAAACGGATAAGGTTGATGCAAATATTGCAGCAAATCAGGTAAAATATAATAGAAAATGTAAAGCAAAGAAATATAACCTAATTCTAAAAATAAGGGATATTGATTTTTTTTTTGCAGGTTTTACAGTTACTAGTATCATCGAGTAATAACTGGCCTATAAAATTACATAAATATCTTTTAGAGAAAGAAAAAGTTTGTTTGTTTTTGCAACGTACTCCTCTTATAGAGAATTCAATTAAGGCAGCTATAACATCCAAGAATAACTTTGGGAAAACTTTCTCAACCAACAAGATTTTTACTTTCAAATCACTTCAAGATAAGGAATCAGAACTCACAACTAAAAGATTACACCTAATACAATGTGTCACTGAAAAGATTTTGACTTTTCATGGCTGTGAAATATTAGAGGAGCACTCTGATTACAAATTTGTATTTACTTCTAAGTCGCAAGGAAATGCACAAGAAAATTATGAAAAGTGTGTATGTGGTGTTGTGAAAAATACAGAAACAAACTGTAAAGAGACAAAATTAACGTACAAAGAGTATGTTAACAACAAAATTAAAGAATTGAAAGCATTAAAAGAACATAAATATTTTGAAACACAAAAATTTAATGCAGAAACGGAAGAATGTTTCCTTGAGAATCTTGCAAAAGCAATAGTGACATTTGAATTACTATCTGTAAAACCAAGCCGTCCTGTTTTTATTGGATGTAACATTGCAACTGATAAAAATACTACAAACACAAAAGGTTTCTTCAACTCAAAATTTTGCATGAATCTTAGAATTTGCAAAAAAACAATTTCTACCATTATTAGTTTTTAGGTGCGTGTTTTATATTGTATAATATAGCAAGAATAACATCCATTATTGAAAAGTACAATGATAAAAGATTAAAAGGAGAATATCCTGATTTACCATGTATCAATGATACAAATTTTTCTTTGTTAAACCAAGAGGTATTTTATTCAAATAATACTAAATTTTCAGCATTTCCAATTAACAAAAGAGAATAAGACGATAATTTAATAACTATTTATAATTTCTAGGAAGAATGGGAACTTGTATATAACTTTATTATTGGATATCAACAAATGATAAATCATTGTATAAAACATAATGCTGTCTTCCAAACAAATCCACAAGTCATTTGTATATTTTTATCCAAATTGTGTCAAAAATTTAGCATCTATTATCGGAGAATTAAAATTTTAACTGTAGGTTTTATTTCTAATCAATCTTAATGATTAACTTAAAAACGTCATTCCATAACTAATAATTTATTATTTATATATTCTTGTCTCATTATAGGAAACATATGACCATTTAGTTCCAACAATGGTTGCCAGATTGCACATGCTACATGCATTGCAAATTGTGCTTCAAAATGCACTTGCTTTCCTTGACATTATTCCTGTATCTCACATGTAATTTAATAGTAGAGAAATTTTTCTTATCAAAATTACACGTTTGACAAATAACTGTACAAAATGATACAAAAAATAAAGAATTGTATATTTAAAAAAAAATAAATAAAAAATGGACTATTAGTTAAACAAAGTTGATTTAATATTTTAATTTTTTAAACACTTTACGAGCTTCCAAGTTGTTTAACTTAAATTTGTTTTGTTTTTCGTTTGTAACAAAAAATGCAATTCTAGATAATAATTTATTTTTTATAAATTTATTGTTACTTTTTTGATCGGTTAAGGATTTATTAAATTGGACAATTATTTATTGAAAGACATGATAAAACTAGACTGTTAAGTCATTCCTATTGTATTATCTAAGTAGATGTGTATCTGCAGATATGTATTCTATATTTATAATTATACGTATATTTATAATTTATAGCTTTAATAATATTTTTTAATAATTATCTAATCATATTAGACAGTATCTTATCGCATGTAAATGTGTTGATTTTATCACGTGAAAAGATAACCAGCAAAAATAATTTTCCGTGATAACATAAACGGAAATAATTACATTTGCAAATAACGATGTGCGAAATAGTAAAAACGATCACAATACTATAATTGTAAATACACGTGCGCATTTTTCAAATATAATTCTTTATTTTTAAAATTAAATACAATTTATATAGAAATTGTGGATTTTTTTGACTTATCAAACTGTGTCTCTGAAGAAATTCTTCTAACCTTTGACGATAATCAAAGAAATCTGTAAATTACGGTATTTTATTCTTCCATGACACGCATTTATCACTACAACGCACTCATAATAATCAAACTTCAATAAATCATACCGCAGATCCGTTACATTTAAACACGGTATCGAACGCTGTACTGATCTCGAGAGATTCACAAGTATCAGTTTGAAAAACTACGGGCGACGCCAAATAGGATGCAAAAGATGGCGCGATTATACGAATTTTCAAACGCACTTTTCTTAAATTTCGTAACACAAGGGAAACGATTAAACGACGTTCCAGAGCTGCTGCATTTAAATTATCTCCAATAACGTATAAATTTCCTCATAAGGATTGAATAGATTGCAACGAACCAAACGGAGTGGAATTTAAACGATTAAAAAATGCTATTATTATAAGCTAATTCCCGATGCAATCTCGGTAACATTGAGCGATTGATCGACACATTATTTTCTTATGTCTAGTTCGTCAGTTTCAGCGTATTGGTAAACGGAAAATCGGAGTATCTACCAGAAGTAGTATCGCACGTGAAAAGTACACGCACGATAGCGTGTAAGAGAGCGAGGCGAGGAACACAGCCAGCTGTTTGTTTTGTTTTCGGGCATGAGATTCACGTGACACGACCGGTGCTGGTGGCGGCTCGCACGGCAGCGCCGTATTGTCAACGTTGATTGGCCGAGGCAGTGCACTCGCGCACCGCTCAGCCAATCAGCGGCATCGTAAGAAACGACGTCTGGTGCTTCTACGGTGCAGAGACGTTTGACATCGATAAATGCGTGAGAGTGCTCGCGAAGTGCGGAGGTATCAGGCTGTCGCTCGCTCGTCGGCTTGTCGTAGTCGTCGTCGTCGTCGTCGTCGTCGTCGTCGTCGCCGTCGTCGTCGTCGTAGGGGGCTCGTGGGCTCGTCGCCGTCGGTCAGTTTCGAGCCTCCTTTTCTTTGTCCTTTGACTAGCCCCCCCCCCTCACTCCGTACCCGCGAAAACCTGTGCAGAGGAGTAGTGTTAGGCAGTGCCGATCCACATAGTGACCGTCTTTCTTTGCATCGTCGCTCAGCTGCGCCTACTTTCGTGTGTGAGCGAACGTACCCAGCGTGCCAAATGTCACTAGGTGGACGATAGAGTCGAAATACATTCGATCCTCTCGACGTCGCGTCGTACGTATGTATGCACGCACGCACGCGTTTGGAGTGTGTTCGTGCATGTGTACAGTAGGCCGGACAGGGAGCACACGTTCACGTTTAGGAATGACTGTTGTCAGAAACGAGTGTTGTTAGTGTATCGCCAGATACGCGGTACAACACTCGCATGATCTCCAGGCTGCTTCGTGCATACTGCGTATATCGCTTCTGCTCGCGTACCGTCGACGTACATTCGCGTACTCCGAAATTTCTCTACATACTGCGAACGTGTGTATGCACCCACCATGTTGCTGTTGTTTCTTGTATGGGAACCACACTCATTACCGATCACACACACACACACACACACACACACACACATACACACCTATGCACGTATTCACGCGCGTGTGCGATAGGCATGTTTGCTGCGCGACGTAACGTGCATGTGTACGAAAAGTTGCAATCCAGCCGAGGACGGAATCAAGGGAGCGCCTTTCTGTGTGCTCATCGTGAACGGGAAGCCAGTACGAGCATTACCGTGATCGGCCGCGTATCATGCGAGTTTCTAGAAGATTTGCCCCTTTTGTGTGCCTCGCGCGTGACAACGTACGTTCTCTCTGACGAGTAAATTGCGGTTTTATTGGCACACCGCTCGACGGTCGGTTTGCGCGAGTGTGCCTGTGTGTGTGTGCGTGTGTGTGTGTGCGTGCGCGTGCGTGTGTGCTCGTCTGCGTACCGCAAACTGCGTATTGCGTGAGTTTCACGGGAATCGTTGACCTCGCGACCAAGTTGACCGAGTTACGCGCGTGGAGAAAAACAGTGAATAGAATTGTCCGCGAACAACACATTTCGACGCGTAGCCGATCGCGTTTTTCTGCTCATTCGTTTCGGCGACCGCGACATATATACACACACACACACACACGTACATGCACGCAGCTTGCGTTACATGTCCGAAATATCGCGTCTTCTCTCCCAGGCCGCTCGGTGCATGGCTCTCGATAGTATCTACGCGTTCAAGGTCAGCGCAGGAAACAAGTAGCCGGTACTACTTTGTAGAGTGGTGTCGCACGCACATACGCGTTTCCTGATCAAAAATAATAGTCTGTTTCGAGCGCGCGCAAGATCGAAACGGCCGGCGATCGAGGTCAGGTTCCTTCGCATTCGTTGGTTCGCTCGCCGGTCCGTTCGG